CGTTTGCATCCGGGAAATTATTGCAATTAATGAGTAACTTTTGCAATCTCACTCTACTCTTTTCAAACAATTACAATCCTTGCAAAAAAGCATTTATTATTAAAAGTCTATCAGTAGGAAGGGAAAGTTATTCAATTGCGGTAAAATGTTAACTGCTTTAGATAGATGCAGTGTGTTTGTAAAATATCAATAAGCCAGGGTTACCAAGGTTAAAGAATGCAAGCAAACACCTCTTGTGTAAAGTTATTAGCCCGACTATTCCCTTTCATTTCAAAGTCATTACTGCTTCATCTTGCCATTGACAAACTGCCTTATTTGAACAAAGTAGAACTGTGTGATATAAATCAATAGAAAACAAAAGCAGTTTTTTTTTCTGGGTTAAATGCTGCAGATCTTACTTGCTTTTCAAATCAGCATAATTAAATATAATTTGAGAGCCGAAAAGAATGAGTCACACATTTGCATTTCAATATGTTATTGTAAACTCTTACTTCTGTTGCTAGATGTCCCTTTGTCTTGTGGATTTCAAGGATTACTCACAGCTCTACCTTAACGCCACTTTAATTTACTGAAGTGGTTATGTTGTAAAGTCCCTGTTCTTGCAAGCCTGTCTTTTTAAATGTTTATTTATTTAGTTAGATAAATATATATTTTTTATGTGTGTAGGGCCGCCTTCTTGGGCTGTTGATCAGTCAGCTGGAATGAAATGATCATGACTGATAATATCAGCTTTGTGCAACTTTTGCATGTGATTTCAGCACACACAAGAAATGCATGGGATAGCCTGCACAGTTACCTACTATGGCTGTCACACAGTCAACAGTAAGTAACTTAGTGCTAACAGTGACAGCATACTGATGCAAAGGTCAGAGTAAATAAATTAAAAAAATTCAACAACAAAAATACATTATGAATTTGTGTCCCATCAAACTGAGTGCAAGATGTTTTCTCCCACTATAGGACAACTCCAACTGTGTGTTATCTTAGTATAGCAAATCAACATTAAAAAAAGACTGAAAATCTATTGAACTAATACCAATCTAAATTATGAATTTGTTATATACATCCCTGAGTACAAAAAAAAATCCATCATTATATATATTGAAAACTTGTTTTGGGTATAGAGTTTCACGTAGGAGTTTCAGAAAGCCAATGTTTCTGCACCTTCAGTTTTACTCATATGTAGAGAACTACAAACAAAATATTTACCGCATTACCAAATTATTGCATTGACTTGTAATTGTGAAATCAAATAACAGTTTTTTTAATAGAATAGTAATTGTTCCACTGTCTGTAGAATATGAAACATACATTTTACCAGCCTTACAGAGTTAAATATTCATGTGTCCCATAAAGACATAATACCATGGTAACCCTTGTCTTGATTGCCATGGTTAATTGTTCAAAGTCTTTGGACCTCCTTAAATGGATACTCCACTACCTAAATAAAATAAATAAAAGAAAACTCACTGTTTAGTAGAAAGTCCCTAATGATATTACGTATGCACATAATTATACATTATTTTTTTATTGGTTGTATATCTAAAAAGCTATTTTAAATGAAGCCTTAGCTTCCCTTCTACAATGTAACCAGGTTCAGACTATGTTTCCCAATGCAGTGGAGGGGTCTTTGCAAGGCAGGTGCTTTGAGCAAGTGGACACATTTTTCACACGTAAAGCATTTCAGAAAACTGAAGTCTTTTTGGGGTCAAATATCAAGTTGCAGATCTGGCAAAAGTTGTTAAATAAAAAAGGCACAACACATCAGAGATCATGTAACATGAAAAAACACCAACAAAGTTAATCAGTTGTACCTCTTATTCAGGGAGTGGCACCTTTCATTTAGAATTTATTATTATACCATTTAGGAATAATTCAGTTAACAGATGCCTCTGTCACTAGACTTGTGCATTTGGATGCAAACAGATTGCAATTCATCTGTGTTTGGATGATCAGCGAGTTCTCTGGGATCTTCTTGCCATACCATTTACATGGAATTTTATATAAGAAAGTGGAAGCAGACAAAGGTAAATTTGAGTCATTACAAATTCTCGACCTAGCTGTCCCGATAATGTACGTTGTAAAAGGAGACACACTAATCCAGCACCTGATGTAACTTTAGACATTTTAATTTTCTGATAAGGCTTTTATTAATATTGGAGATATCTACAGATTCAAGAATATACTACCACTGTAAACGAAGTACATTGATGCAACATTTTCTGAAGCAAACATGTTAATTATGGGAAAAAAATATTCTAGTCAAAGATTTCGCAATAACTAGTATCGTCTAGGGTTATTTTACATGAGGAGTGAAACTAAAAAGTGCACATAGTGGTAGATAAACTGTACATGCAACAACCAGATATATATATCCACATGAATAACAAACACATGAGCAACAGCATGATACAACATTCACAGTTGATAAGACTTGTCTCAACGAATAGTGTGCTGGACACAATATGTGAAAAGAGGGATTTGGGATTTCGTAATTATAAAAAGAGTTACAATACATCTGCTTGATCTAGGAGTTGAGATGGTATAGTCTAACTACAAATGTGGAAAACATTTACATATAACAGGCTACATCTGAGAGGTAAGATTTATCATATTTTTTTTATTTACTGGTGCTATTAAAGAAATGTAAAAAAAATATATATATTTTTTACCTTAATCAAATACAAATTGTATTTTTTATTAAACCAGGAATAGAGAAGAACTAAGAATAGAATTACACATTGTAGCCAGAAAAAGGAAAATGAAAATAAAATATTTAGCGCTGCTTCTATTGGTCTACACTACAGTATACAATTTCCTTGTTGATTCTTCCAGTAACTCAGTCCCATCAGTGACGATAAAAAGAAAATATATTAATCTTTTGTTTACTAACACTGAATAAATAAATTAGATCAATGATTATTATAACTGGACACGTTCCAACGCTTACTTTCACCTCACTGTATGTAGATATCTCACTGGAGATTTACTTTCAGTGGTGGACTAGAGTCTGTAAGGCTATTTTCTAAAATTAAAATGCAGTATGAATTTAAAGTGAATCTCAAATTTAAGGTCTTAATAGTCAAACTGGCCATAAATTCTTTTTTAATTCACTTTGAATTCTCACTTTAAGACATAAACCTGTTTGAATTCAGTTCTAAATAGTTACATGTAAGTGTCAGAACATTCTCTGGGAATTCAATGCTGAATGTGTAATGTCAAGGCATTTTCACTTTCACTATTTTCACAATGAAGAAGTAAATACAATTGCTGAATATGATATCATATCATGTTGCCACAGTAGCAGGATAATAGCATTCTCCTTTCTATTGATCAAATAATTCAATCCAATGCTTGGTGACACAACAATTACTGTAACAAGAAACATAATACAATCCCTTCTAGAATAACATGTCATAACATACGTACTACACTAGTGATCTACCTCACCCTAGTAATCCTAGTATTCAAGGGGTCAGTGTAGCACTTATTATCATTGAAGATATCGTAATATATCTTAATATAGATCAATTGTCAGCAGTCCAGGTCAGTATCTCACTTGCAATACAAATGAAAATTGCCTAAATCCTGAACTAAGGGTGTACCTCGAAGACTGAATTACAAAATATGGATAATTGCAGAAGCCATATTTAGACTAATTACTAGCAATTTTTATAAAGAAATCAAATTGTATTTGTGCATATGTCTATTGTTTCAGTTGTCCAGGAAACAGTGGTCTATGCACATGTTTCACCTGTGTGCTTGCAGTCTTCTCTTGGAATGCCTGTGATTCATTTGTCCTTGGGCAGCCATCTAAATGTAGGGCTTTTAAGGCTAGTATGGTGAATGTGGGTCAGTGTTCATTTTGGTGGCAAATCTCAATTAAGTCATTTTGGCTAAAAGTCATTTCACTTTTAAGCGTATTTCAATCTAATGGGTTTAGTTAAAGCCTTTATCTGTCTCTTTTGCCCCTTCCTTAGCCCCATCTGTGTCTCTGTGTCCTCCCAGACCCTCTAGGTGTCTCTCTTCCAAGCCCTGGTCTGTCTCTTTTGCCCCTTCCACAGCCATTCTGTGCGGTGTTAATTTTGGGGGCAAATTTTAATTTAGCTTTAGTCATAGTCTTTTGACTAAAAAGCCATTTTAGTTTTTAGTCATATCTTAGTCATCTGAATTGTTTTAGCTTTAGTCTAGTTTTTGTTGACCAAATCTCAAACATTTTAGTCAACTAAAATTTGACTAAAATTGTCAGTCACCAAAATGAACACTGTGGCGGGTAAGGTTCTGTATGTATATCTGGTCACCTTTGACATTAACATGTTTAAATACTATCACATGTACCGCTTTATACATGTATAACCTTAATCTCTCTACTCTATTTATAATGCTCACAATGGATACAGAACAAGAAGGATGTCAATGTACCAGCTGGTTCTGAACCAGTTGGTGATGAGCTGGAATGGTTTCTTGCATGTGTAAACTGGTCTAACAACTGTCCAACCATTTTCTGATATGCCACCCTGTGTCTGTTGATGATTCATCATTCTAGACAAGTTGGCAGACCGTTATTAATTGTGTATTTTCTTCCTCTTCCTATTTTATTCTAAATCTGTGCCTCTGAATGAGCCCTGTTACTTTGGTTTTATTTAGACATCTTTGTATACACAGGAATTCCGTGTTTGTATATGAATGCCATTTGTACGTCTTGTGGATAATAGTAAAACACTCTAATCCTGTATACAGAATGTACAAAAACAGTAAGTAGCATTGTCAAAAGAGGA